ATATAAAAAATATAAATGTAATTTAAGTATAATTTAGTAACAACTTATATTTTGAGCTATCTTAAAAAACTATATACCTCGACCTCAAGTGCTCTTTATTTGAGCCATTGCCGATTACAACTGATTAGTGAATATTAAACTTTATGACATCTGATTACTGATTACACGCAACATACCCGCACAGACGACAGATATACAGTCACATTAGTCTACTTTTCTAGTATACAGACATTTTATATYATACATGTTCAAATTCTTATTAATTTTAAATATACGCCAAAAAAGTATTACGCCAAAATGGCAAAATAGTCTTACGCCAAAATGGTTTACGCCAAAGTGGCCTCGCCAATACGGCCATGCCAAAATGTCCGGGTCCGTACTATGGCTCGAGACTTATAGAGTTATGAGTTATACTTCACTATAAAACACCTAAATAAGCATTATCATATGCTTAGAAAACCCGTAAAATATGCAAAATAATATAATTTTCTTAATTCATGTATGCCAACGGGTATTGACTAGTTCTGGGAAAACATATAAATATACGGGGCTCCATGTTTAAAAATATCTTCACGAATTGGAGCTTTGTTAAATATGTTTTAATACTGATAATATATAACATTATCGACAGATTTTTATTGTGTTCTAAGCTCTAACTTCAGTCTTATCATAAAGAACCACGCACAGAACATGGATCAATTCAGTGTACTGCTTTGACATCTGAAGATGTAAGACGTTGTTAAATCAGTTAAAACAAGTAACAACCGATAATCATTTAGTATTTTTGGAAAAAACACCAATACAATTTTATCTGACAGCATAAAAATACATCGTGGGTCAAGGAAATAATTTAGCCATAAGGAATGTATAGAATTACAACGGCAAAACGGTCGCAAAATGATTCATAAAGAAAATTCTTAGGCATGAACTTATAATATAAATACGGCGGAAATGGAAATTAAAAAAACATCAACATTATGACAAAAATATCATAAAATAAACAAATAAAAGGACAACTAATATGTATGTGATACGGTCTACTACAAAAAACAATAGTCTCGATCCCTGCTCATAATCAATATAATAATAGTTTTAATAAAGTTAATATAAATAACAGACATAACCATAAAATATATATTATATAGGTATACCTGTAACTGCGCTAGCTTTAGAGCCTTTTTCATTGATTTCCATTGTTACCTTATGTGTAATATCCTTCACTAACACTTGTTTTGCTGGGTTAAATATCGATGTTAGATTTGCGCTACTACTAAAGATAGATGTTAATCCGATCTAAATATATAATTAATTACAATTATTATTAAGCATTTATAACGTTTAATATAAAATAAATACGTAGGATGATCAAATATTCAAATGAATATCTATCCGAAAGGATCGAGTCATGTGGTGTATACTATTTTTACAAAATGGGAGCTAGTATAAAAATAATGAATGTAATACCTATAGATATTGCAAACATTTTTTAATAAAACATAATATAGTTTTAAAAATATTGATTTATATTTTGTACACATTTTGGTTTTTAATACCAAATAAATTAATATAACGAAAAACTAATCACAAATTAAAAAAACTTTAACCTAAAAACATGTGATGCACCATTTTAGAGTACATTTTTTTTACTCATTCACTCAAATTATGTTCTAAAATTCACTTCTTTATATTTAGTTTTAAATTTGAAAATAATTGTAAGTATTTATTTAGTGTATATTATTATAGTAAAACCATTATATTATTTATTATTAGTAATATAGTAGAATATATGTGTAAAATATTCACAAATGTGTTTAAAAAGTCTTGCATTATATTAGAAAAGGTTTATAGAATTATAAGCACTTATAAATTATTTACTTAATTTAAATAAATAAATAAATAGAACAGCAAAAGAAATGCCCATAAAAATGAATTAGGTATGTTGTATTCAGCAACTAATTTAGTGCACACACACAAAAACATTTTATTAAATTATAAAAAATAAAGATARGTAATACCAATTCATTAATAATAGACAAATGAAGCAAATAAGCTGAGGCAGCACTTTGTAAAAACATGGYGGTAACGGGGCAGACGGGCAGTACCTAGTACCTACCTGCTGGTCTAGTACGAGACTTATGTTTGTGGTGTTTCGTTAAAAAATCGTTTTCTGTGTTTTTGTTTTAAAAATAATAAAAAGACATTCTAATAGTTTAAATTATTTATTGTAATTATTATTGAGTGTACTATCCAAAAAARGAGGTATATGACAGGAAGGTATAACATTATTATCAGGCACAATACACAATATTTTTATCCATAGGCGTAACTAGACCCTAAAGTGAAGGGGGGGGGGCTTAAGCCCAAGAATTTTAATAATTGGCAAATTAAGTGTGGGTACTGACCCCCAAACACATTACATTAATTGATTATGATTGTAATATAAAACAAGTAATAAACAAGGTGATATTGTGGAAACATTAAAATATGAACTTAGGTATTATTAAGTATTATTTTAAGTTAAATTTTCTTMAGATATATGTGAAACTATGATAGTTTAAGGAATTTTATACATAACTCCCAAATCTTTAGAGCCCACCAGATCATGGCTTAGTTCATGTTTCAACTACCAGTGATTAAGTAACTGGGCTAAATATTCTACTAAAATATTTAAAAAAGCATAAAAAATCCAATAAAAATATATAAATATGCATAAAAAGCACATGAAAATTGAAAAATATGCATTTTTTTCTAAAATTGACAAAATATGCAAAAAAATGCATTTCTAATTTTTATATTTAAAGTTGTCATTGGATTTCTAGCTTGGTCTGCTATAAATTTAAAGCATACAGAAAAATATGCAACTCCTACAACTTCCGAGCTCTAGTCATTAGTCRTTACTCATTACATACAATAATATATACTTTAATAACCAATAAAATAAATATTTTTCCAAAATATTAATAAAAAAAAATAAAACGATACTTAGTTTAAAAGTACTGCTGGGAAGTGCAGAACTAAGAATTAGGACAGGGGGGGCTAAGCCCCCCCCCCCCAAAGTCTCTCTAGTTATGCCTATGTTATTATCCCAGCAATATCAATAGGTATCTACCAACAAAATTTCAGATATTGCCCCGGTGTAACATTCTAATTATTAACTTTAATATCCAAATATTTATACTCTTACCTTTTTAAGTACAGATGATAACTTTGTCGAGAAATTAATTTTGAACTGTGGCAAATRCAAATTGATAGTTCTTTGATAAACTGAATTCAATATTTTAGAAAAAGGATTATGTTGTGAGTCTTTCAATACTTGTACAGTTGAAGTATTTACATCTGGCAATAATATAAGCATAGAAAAATTTGTGTCCTATAAATAAATAAAAATATATAAAATATAATATATTTAAWTTACATAAAATATATAATATAAAATATTGTTGTACCTACTAACTATTTTGTATTTAAATTATTTATCATTTCAATAACATTTCTAAACCCTTTTTTTAAGCAAACCAACTAATATGTTTATAATTACATATTATYGAGGTTTCAAAAAACTTTTTATTGTTGTATAAATTATAGTCAATTTGATTTTCTATGAAAAAACTGAAGTTTATTTTTAACTATATTTAATTTTTTATCACAAATTAAGTTATTTTATCCAATTGTATTACTTATTTKTAATTTTTAATTACCTTGTAAAGAAGCTCAACAACTTGGGCCTTAATATCTGATATATAACCATATCCTACTTGGCTTTGTAAATTCATCATACTGACTTCAATGCACATACCAGGTTTTGTGTAAAAACACTGTTTTTTAGTGCTACTTTTATTAAACTCTACTAACCAATCTCCTTTGAAATAAAGTACATTTGCCAATAAAAGTTCAGTGTTTTCATCAAAATCATCTATAACATTATTTTAAATTTAATTAAGTTCTTGAACAACAATTAATTAAATCAAAGTATTTTTTCTAATAAAAATAGTTTGTCCAAATACAAAAATAAATTAAAACAAGCACACATCATTGCAAAAATCAACCAATCATTTTCTCAGAATCTAAAAGTTTAATAATAAATAATAATTTTATGGTTTTGTATTAAAATAGTGAAAATATTTTGAATATTAAAATAATCAAAATTTTAAATATAAAAACGCACAAACCTTTAGAAATTATACTGYTTACAAGTCCTTGTGTTACATCAGAAACTTGTTTATTGATCATTTTAACTGATGCTTCAATATTAAGAATATTAATTTCAGTTATATTAGCGGAGTACTTATCTTGTGCAGTATCTTTGAAATAGTTAGATATACTGTTTTTATTCTTAACAAACATGTAGTTGACAACTACTATATCAATTACATCACTCTCCATAGATAATTGATTTGCATGTAATACATTATGAAATGTTGATTGGTCAGTTGGTAAACGTAATACCCTATTTAATTGATCTAACGTATCTCCGCGAGCCCCTTCCGATAGCAATGTTAACATGGTTTTAATACTAGCTGTAGAAACTACAACATTTGAATCTGGTTGATTTAAGCTAAGTTCCTATGCAATTTAAAAACAATAAAAATGCTGATTAAAATTTATTGAAAGTACTGATAGTGAATTATATTATAAAAA